GTTATTATAACGTAATCATTAAAGGGATGTTGATTTGTGTTTTTGAACTACAGCTCCCAGAATTCCCAAGGTAGCCTTCCATTCCAATATGATGTGGAGAAGGACATAGATATGAAAAGCAGGGATGAGGATTTGAAGCGCAACGTTATTTATCTTGTGGTTTCGTGTGCTTTCTTGTTCATTTACTTGTTTTTGCTTATCTAGCCAATTTTCACAGAAACTGTGGACGGCTTACTGTAAAATGGCCAATAAGATGCTACTAAAAATAGCAGAATAAATTATCGTCTACTTATCTGGATCAGATATAATGTTCATCTCTATAAAAATGTTTTTATTATGTCTAGGCAATTTGGATAAGCTTACAGTGGTGCTCTTGATTTAATGGAGAAGCATTGGTTTGGATTTTTACTTACGTGCTTAAGTTTATTGTGTCCGTGCCTTATAATGAGATTTTTAAGAGTCCTTAACGAGCAGAGGTGCACCCTTTAAGAAGGGTAAGCAGTCTGATGCCCTCACGACTTTTTATACTTCACTTCCTGTCAACTCTATCCAACACAGATAGTGATTGGGGGTTATGGGGGTTCTCATCAAAAACATAAGAGGACACCAGCTGTTTATCCTTGTCCTAAGATATGTAAGATTCAAGGTTTCTCAAAAAGTCATAAAGTGCCACTCTAAACAGCAATTATCCTGGCCTGGATTGGTCTTGATTGTGCTAAACATAATCTAGGTGCTTGCTTGCTTGCTTGCTTGCTTGCTTGCTTGCTTGCTTGATTGATTGATTGATTGATTGATTGATTGATTGATTGATTGATTGATTGATTGTGGTGATCCTTGAACGCATATGCAAGGATCAACTACACCACACCTCAAAAACCCCTGTTTAGCACAATCAAGATCTTCTTTCCCTTTAAAGGGAAATATCTCATCAATCTTCAGAAATGGAAAGAATTATTTATTTCTTTTTAGTTGCTGCTAACGTATCAGGCCTGGTGTGGGGTCACGAAGAGTCGGACACGACTTAACGACTAAACAATAACAATGTATCAGGAATGCTTTGGAAGGTGGGGGGTTTTTTTAACCTTGTTAAAGCATTGTTGATGCACTGTGTCAGTTAGCATTAATTAAAAGGAACTGGAAAGCTTTGTCTCTCTTCCCCTCCAAAGGCAAGCATCAAAGAAGCTTCGCATTTCTCAAGACTGTTAAGTGGCTTCACCAAAGGGATAGCCAGGCAGCTGCTTTGGTTCAATCCCAGAAATCACACACACTGGAATCAAACCAAAACAGAGATCTTACTTGGACCAAAAGAACCCAAGTAACCTCTAACAGAGACCCAAAAAGGTGCAGGTAGTCATCAGTCAGAGGTTTGCAATGACATGTACTGTATACAGAACTTAACGACTAAACAACAACGCAGAACTACTCACCCTTCATTCTAACTATGGATGTCGTTGAGGGGCATTCATTTTTGTTCTCTTTTCATCATCATCATCATCATCTTAGAACTGCAGAGCTGGAATGTTTTCCTGTTCTTTGTTTTTGTAGCATGGAAATCACAGAATTTCAAAGATGTCACATAGCACATAAAATGTGTGTTCTTAGGATGATGCATCAAGCAATATACTCCATCTCTATACATAGCTGCGAACATGATAAAACTCAAACTGGTTTCCCAGGTTAAGTAGCAAGTTAAGATGCATTTATTCTTTTGGTAGAGGAGGTGTGTAAGGACATAATTTCCTTCAATTCCACCTTTTCCCTCAATCCTTATTTGTAGGAATCCTTATAATTATTCTTGATTGGCCTTGAAAAGGCAATCAGCACGATCCAGAGTTAAACATTAAATGTGGAGCATTAGCTCTGCCAGAGGAGTAATTACCGAACGCATACGGAAATGTCAATACTTGGCAACACAGGCTGTCAGTAAACCAACGCTCGGTACTTTGTTCATGAACTAATTAAATGGGTTGGTGGAGCAAAAGTGGGTGAGGATGTTCAGAAGAGATTGAACTAGTATGTTTTGTGGTAAGAATGGAATTCATTTGGGAGCAATGTAGAGAATATAGCTCTTCTGAAGAAACCAATATCCCATCTAAGTCCTAGCCTGCTTAGCGAAACTGCTGCATCGTGTGCATTCAGATCCCTGGTGCCATAGTTAGAGACCGCCTGCTTAGCAAAACCGCTGCATCATGTGCGTTCAGATCCCTGGTGCCATAGTTAGAGACCCTCTGTTTTGTTCACTGTACAATAGACCATCTTCCACAACAGTCCACTGGGATTTTGTCATCTTCAAGATTCAGTTCAAATCCTAATCCAGTGATTTGCAATAACTTCATTTGGTTCACACCAATTCAGAGATTTGCAGATCACAGCTTGGAAATCCAGCTGTTCATGCCTCCCACTGGAAATCAATAAAACCTGTTTCAAAGTTATAATTTTTTCTTTGGGACGCTCCTATTTTTTTGAGTTGCCTTATGGAGTGCTGAATTGGATTGTTGTACAATATCTAGTGTTGCACTCTCGTGCAGCAATAATTAAGCTGACTCAAATGCTGGCAAATAGATGGGGGAGTTTCATGCTGTATGTCTTCAAACTATGGTCATTTTCTAATGGAATTATGATTGGTGGATGAGTTGGTGTCTGTGGGAATGTCTGTTTGTGCTTGTGTGTTGCAGAATTCAAAACAAAATTCAGTATATCTGTATTTGACTCTTCACAAATGAGCCACACTGCCTCGTATCAGAAGATTAGGTACATGGGGTTTTGTGCAAAAGTAGCCTTAATGGATTTAGGAGAGCAGTTCTGAAATATGTCAATTCATGCACCAAACTCCTTCACATTATATAAAGAAGCAACATAATGATGTATTGTACTAACCAACTGAAATAGCGGTGGATGTTAGACAGGGTTACATGGATTTCTGGGTTTTGATTTCACAGTTTCTCATTTTACAATGCAAGTTGACTTTGTCCCATCGCTGCATCAGTCTGTAATTTTTAAAAATGCTTGCACAATAATTTAAATGCCTTTTCATTTCTCTTTATTTACATAACTTTGATATGATTTTGCGTAGCATATGCACTTTTCAAAGCAATTTCAAGTAATATAATGCATTGTGTAAGTTATTGTTATTCATTGTTACTCCTATACACCTTTGTGCTTTTTTAATAAATTGGAGAGCTACATGCAAAATTCAGGGAAGTGTGAGCATCAAAGAACTTTGTTTTGGTTTAGAAAGAACAAGGAAAATGCAGTGTGGTCCCCGAGATTACACACATGTAAGAGTGGGTGATATCTTTTATTGGACCACTCTTCCTTTACAATTTTTCAGTGTACAATTTTCCAATGTACATTTTTTCTGCACTATTTATAAACGGGTTATGCTAAGCCTAGATAAGTGGAATTTTCTCCACAAAGGCTTTCAATTTGTTTGATTTCTAGTGGTCCGATAAAAGGTATCACCCACTCTTACCTTTGGTTTGGTTTGTGACTAGAGATGGGCATGAACTCCTGGTTCAGTGGTTCAGCGCAGTTTGTCTACTGGCCACCTAGCATCTCACCACCACCCCTCCAGCAGGCACCCACTAGGAGGCAAAACCTGGAGGAGGTAGAATATGGAAGCCAGGGCACTGTTTCTGAGTGGACACTCTCTAGAGAGTGCGAGGCACCAAACCGCAGATAAACTGTGTAGCCGGTAAATGAACTTCTATGAACCACTGAACCGGCAGTTGGTGTCCATCTCTATTTTGGTGTTAATTGGGCAAAGTAATATAAAGAAAGTTCTCAAAGACCTCTCCCTTGAGCCACCTGGTTGGAACTGCTAATGAAGGTGGCAGTTCTGGAACAGGAGACATCAAGTGATACTAGTTGGTCCTCATCCTAGCAATGAAGCATCCCTTACTCATCTGTTTCTCTGATATAGCCAGATGAAATGGGTGAAAATGCTAATGAAGGTGGCAGTTCTGGGACATGAGACATCAAGTGATACTTGGTCCTAGGACCTAGTTGGTCCTCATCCAAGCAATGAAGCATCACTTACTCATCTATTTCTCTGATATAGCCAGATGAAATGGGTGCTGGTGTGAGAGGAGGCAGTTCTCGGATGGGGGAAAGTCAAAAATTCTCAGCCCCTTCTTTTGGTCTTTTCCAGCTCTACAAATTCTATGATTCCTCCTTTACCAGCCAGCCCACTCCTTAAGGTCTGATGGAGAGGCCCTTCTGGGCTAAGATCCAAAGGTATATTTACTTCCATATCAGTTCCACTGACATTTTGATATTGAGTCAAAATATACGGAAACTGAACATTCTCAGCTTCTCTCTCAACTCTCGTTCTTTCTGTGTATATAGAGCTTAGGGTGTGTTTCTGTACGCAATGCCAGCAGAATCTACCCTTTCTTTCTCACCCTCTGTAGACCTCCAAAGGAAATTTCTAGGGCACATGGAGAATCCCACCACTAGATCCCAGGCTCATTGACTGAGTTATGGTAGAGTCATGATTGATGGGGCCTAAACTGTAGAATTCTTTGCCTCAGAAGACCAGACCGGGTACTCACCTTGATGGCCTTTTACCGCCAGGTGAAGACCTTCCTGTTCTGGCAGCCATTTGTTTTATGGGTTGTACTTAAATTGATTTACTGTATCTATTCTTGTTGTTGCTGCTCCTGTTTTCATAGTGTTGCACTGTGTTTTAATTGTTAGCTACCACTAGTGATGCATAAGCACCAGAGGGAAGAGAGAGGAAAAAATTTAATTGAAACACACATAAAATAGGCCCATTCTGCAGAGGCTAAGAGCCACAGTGAGAGAACAATGATTCAAAGACTTTTAGCCTCTGCGTAATGGCTGGCTGGTGGTCCTTTGGTTTATATAAAAATTTAGGTCTACCCTTCTCATATTTACAAGCCCATCATAGTAACTGCTACAATTTCACGTTGAACTGAACAAACTCTTTCTCTCTCTCTTTCTCTTTCTCTCCCTCCTTGCCCCACCCCCTTCCACAGCTAACATTTTGACAGTCATCATCCTGTCACAGTTGGTGGCTCGGCGGCAGAAATCCTCCTATAATTACCTTCTAGCGCTAGCAGCTGCTGACTTGCTGGTCCTCTTTTTCATTGTCTTTGTGGACTTCTTACTGGAAGACTTCATCCTGAAGAAGGAAATGCCAGAGATCCTGGACAAAATCATTGAAGTCTTGGAATTTTCTTCCATACACACTTCCATTTGGATTACTGTACCACTGACGATTGACCGGTATATTGCGGTATGCCACCCTCTCAAATATCACATGGTTTCTTACCCAACGCGTACCCGGAAAGTCATTGTAAGTGTTTATATCATTTGCTTTCTGACCAGCATTCCTTACTACTGGTGGCCCAATATTTGGAAAGCAGATTACACAAGTACGTTGGTTCATCACATCCTCATTTGGTCCCACTGCTTCACGGCCTACATAGTACCGTGCTCAATCTTCTTTGTTCTGAATTCAATCATTGTGTACAAGCTTCGACAAAAGTGCAATTTCCGATTGAGAGGGTACTCCACGGGGAAAACGACCGCCATCTTGTTTACAATAACTTCAATTTTTGCCATACTGTGGGCGCCAAGGGTTATCATGATCTTATATCACCTGTATGTCACACCAATAAACAACAGCTGGTCCATCCACATCGTCTCTGACGTTGCCAACATGCTAGCTCTGTTGAACACCGCCATCAATTTCTTCCTTTATTGTTTCATTAGCAAGCGATTCCGCACGATGGCAGCCGCGACGCTTAAGGCTTTCTTTAAGTGTCAGAAGCAACCTGTTCAGTTCTATACAAACCATAACTTTTCAATAACTAGCAGTCCCTGGATATCCCCTGCCAACTCTCACTGTATCAAAATGCTTGTTTACCAGTATGATAAGAATGGAAAGCCTATAAAAATATCACCATGATCGTCAGTCGGAAAGTCAACTCTGAATGCAAGTGGTTTTCAAGCTGTTGCATCCATGGGATGTAATTGCCAAAATGGTTATGGCACTGAGCAGCCATTGGATTTCCTTTCTCCCCGAGAGCCAGAAGATCTGTAGGCTAGAACTGTTGTTAACAGGAGCCTTAGGTACTGAGGAGAAACATGGAGAGGGCAGCTTCACCTCCTTTAAGGCACGTTGCAACATGAATACCCTTCGGGAATCGCCAGTTTCAACTCTTAGCACTGTTGCCAGGCAAACATATTGGTGAAAAGCTATAGTAATGCACACCAGCAACTGTGAATCCATTGACGTTCGATCAAAATACACTGAAGGCAGACCTTCTCAACTGTGCTCACTCCCTCTCCCTCTCTCTCACCATATATGGAGAGAAATAAATACACCTGGAAAAGATGTTTTGCGCTGTACACCTTTGGTTGTTTCCTTTCTTTTGCCTCACCTTTCAGTTCTGTTTTGGATTCCTACAGCACAGGTTTCCTGACACCTGATGAAAGGAAGAGAGCCATCTTCAAAGTATTTGTACAATGCATGCTCTTTGAGCCAGACATGGAAGGCAGCTTCTCAGCTATACTATACAAAGCAATGGAAAACCAGTTGCACATGGAGAGAAATAAATATACCTGGAAAAAATGTTTTGCGCTGTACACCTTTGGTTGTTTCCTTTCTTTTGCCTCACCTTTCAGTTCTGTTTTGGATTCCTACAGCACAGGTTTCCTGACATCTGATGAAAGGAAGAGAGCCATCTTCAAAGTATTTGTACAATGCATGCTCTTCTTTGAGCCAGACATGGAAGGCAGCTTCTCAGCTATAGCATGCAAAGCAATGGAAAACCGGTTGCACCTCTTTGTGTAAACCCAGGTGTTGCATTTTCCACAGAGTCCAAGACCATTCAGGAAAGGAGAGGAGGACCTGCATTGAGCAGAGAACAAACAAAACCTGGGCATCTGTTTTTAACCTAGGACCTTTCGGAGTCTCATAGCCAGGCCTTCCCGGGTGCTTCGTTCCCTGCTGGACATTGAAATTTTTATAATTTTTATGGTGTCTGTACGCATGTCGCTGCAGGACATAGCTGGACCTTCCTCGGATAAACTGTAAGTGGTTGTTCATACACTTCTGCAGAAAGAAGAGTGTGATGAAGAACAGGGACAGCGTCGGACACATGAGTTCCAGTACATATTTGTTTCTCTTTAAAAGTTACACACAAATACACAAGACTATTTAGAAGAGACCTGCCAACTCTCCCGTGATGGGGCTGTTACAGTCATGAAGCAGACCTAAGCCAGCAGGTCTTCAAAAATGTGGATTTTACACACTGAGGAAAGAGTGTCGTAACTAACACTGGCGTCGTGAGACATCCTGGGAAACGTAAAGGAGGAAAAGTATTAGTTATATATTGCATCTTGACGTTGAAAGATTCTCACAAATAGTTCATGCTAGCCTTAAACAATATGAAATGTATTGCCCTTTGTATGGTGACTGCTATCCTATGTGTGAAATTCTGGCCAAACGGTTCATTCCACTCACGTGCCTATTACGTGAGCCCTGATCCCACAATGTTTTGCTTTTAGGAACTGTGGTCTGAATTCCACTGCAAAGACCTAGAAATGGAATGCAGGAGGCAAAGCAATGCAGAAAAGTGCTAAAGGACAGAACCCATGTAGCCAACCACCGGGTAAAATACAGCTAGAATAGAAAGGCATATTTACAATCCCTTTGCACAGGGAGACAGGCGGAGGGCAATAGAAGGGTACCCATGGATGGTTAGTAAATCTCCATTTCCTAAGAAGGTAATGAATTCACGCTAATGTACATGAGCAGAGAAAAACTGAGAGATCAGATATCAGTTCTGCCTGAGATTGTCATTGCTTTTGACTTAAAAAAGCAAACAGCCCCCATTCTCCATCATGTTTCTCTCAGGCCGGAATGAAAGCTGTAGCTTCGAATCGAACAGCTTGGTGACAATTGCCACATTGCCAGTACGTCTGAGAGAATCAAACTGAGGCGGCCCTCACCCTCATACACCCACACACACACAATTGAAGTTGACCCAGTAACTGAAGTAGAAGCACAAAATGGAAGGATGTCACAGATTCTTTGCTTGGAAATACGTATCTTTGAACCGACCAGGGCTTATTACTGACTAGACACACACAGGGTTGGTCTGTTGATTTCTGATTCCCCACTCTCCACCCCTATTAAACCTTTGAGCCTGTTTTCAAATTAAGCACGTTGGGAGGCTTTTTGCAAGAGGTTCGTATATTTTAAAATAAGAGACATTAAGACTTTTTCTACTACTAGTGCAGGTTTCAGAGTAGGACTGCATGGAATGGCACACTGTGAGTTTTGTATTTTTCACAAAATTGCTTCTGTCACCACCCTGTCTTTAAACTCTGCCCAGTGGACTGAAAACAGCTGCCGAAGGAACAATGCCTCTGCTTTGTAGAAGTGTGTGTCTTTTCTGTAGATATTCAATCGTTGTCTTCTAACAAAGGCAACTGCCAGTGACTGGGAAAGGTGGCAGCCATCTTCAAAGGTGGCAGCCATCTTTAAAGGTGGCAGCCATCTTTAAAGGTGGCAGCCATCTTTAAAGGTGGCAGCCATTAAAAATTTCCTAAACCACAAAAACAACAGAACATCGCTTTCAAATACCGGCATGTGGTTTCATGGAGGGAAGTCCTACTAGCAGGATTTTATTGGCACATATACACATAGACCATCTTAGATGAGGATTCTGTTCCATTCTTTTTTCTTTTTTCTTTTTCTTTTTTTTTGACAACTCTGCTTCCAAAAGAAATTAGAAATGGGATAGGGGGAAAATGATGAATTTTATTTTTAAAATGAAATGGAAAAAAATCATTTGAGCAAAGGGATTGGAATCCTTAGCCTGGAGAAGTCTTGTTTTGAATCTTTGGACATTCAACTGCGTTTGTGATCTCACATTTGTGTAGTCAATTTTTTATCCCTGAAAGGTGCCTCATCTTTAGACTTGTATGGCCAGCAGGCATGTAAAACATTATCCTCTCCAGGCAGGAAGTCACGGATAGCAGATATGTTAACAATTTCATTCAGTTCATTTAAGATCATTGTCACAACAAGGATTTGCCAAAATGTGCAAGTTTATCTTAGAAGGGTGATGGAAGGAATTTGGGGTGATGTAAAACTGAATGCTAGGGTTGTGTCTGTCTTGACCCAGAATTTGAGGTGAATGCTAGGGTTGTGTCTGTCTTGACCCTTAAGTCACTCTGCAATGGATCAGATTTAAGCATGACTTACTGAGCAGTGACACATGGGCTTATTGCTATTGGTCATACATGCAGCTGCATCTAGCATATCTGCAGATATTCGAGCCAAGGTAGAAAAAAGTCATGTTTTCTGCCTATGTGCAAATGATTTCTGATAACAGAGGCAATATAGCTTGGTGGTTATAAAACTGCATTTTATCCAAATAGCTACAGTTTTCTTTCTCTGTCTTTTTAAAATTCACTTGCATGCACTTTTGTGTGCATTTTTTTAATGTATGCATTTTTATATGCACATTTTCCATTGACTAAAGCATATTTCTTAGGCAAGATGTGTGCCATTCCATCTTGAGTCTTGCAAATTTTGAAGGGGGTATTTGCTTCCCAGCTTCAAAAAGTTACTCCACAGAGTACAACTTGCCGAATACCCTCAACCTTTGCACTGATAGGTAGACTTTCTGAAGACTTCTGGCATTTGTGACCCAGGATACGGAACCTTTCCATTTTCTGACATTTCCTTACAAAAGTCCAAAGCTGATGGGTTACTTTTCCATCATTAAGTAAGCCTTACAAGTTAAGTAAGGAAGATTCAAAACTGGCCATCCATTTTCAATCATCAAATGTGTGTGTGGCAGGTTTCAAGTTCTATCCATGTGGCTAAGAGGGCGACAGAACGGAGGGGTGTTTTAGCCATTCTTCTGCATCAGACATGTGATGTATATATTTGGAATATTATTGCAATAAGAAGTGAAATGTGGTGGCGCTGCAGCCTAAACCGCAGAAGCCTGTGCTGCAGGGTCAGAAGACCAAGCAGTCATAAGATTGAATCCACGCGATGGAGTGAGCGCCCGTCACTTGTCCCAGCTCCCGCCAACCTAGCGGTTCGAAAGCATGCAAATACAAGTAGATAAATAGGGACCCCCTCGGTGGGAAGGTAACAGCGTTCTGTGTCTAAGTCGCACTGGCCATGTGACCACGGAAGATTGTCTTTGGACAAAACGCTGGCTCTATGGCTTGGAAACGGGGATGAGCACCGCCCCCTAGAGTCGAACACGACTGGACAAAAATTGTCATGGGGAACCTTTACCTTTACCTTAAGAAGTGAAATGAGAATGTTAGCTGACAAAATAAGGCACAAGGATCTTATTGCTTTATTACAGTTTTGAATGTTACAGAATGTACACCTTATCTGATTCTGAATTTCTTGCTCCTCCACATTTTATAGCTTTTGTCTTGAAACAGATATTAACCAAAGTTTATCTTTGAGAGGCTGTATATTCTTAATGTTGGATAAGTGCTGTATCATAATTTATTTGCCATTTACTTGATGGAAGGCTGGATGGAGGAGTTAAATCACTGTATACATCAAAGCTCAATATGCACTTGTGGGTTTTAGTTTGTTTCTTCTTTATGTTGTTTTTGGGAAATGGACTGGAGGGATTCAACTATTTATATTCAACATTTATCTCAGCAATCCTATAGATGCAACTGAATGCTCTGAATTTTTAAATAGCAAAAAAGCATTAAAACTTTCTATGTGGAAATCAATTGCCATATACTTTTCCTAATAAGAATACATAAAGAACTGGTGTTTGCATTATGGGGGGCTGTGTGTCCCTTCATTTTTTACGATGACCTCCTTTAACTACTATTTCTAGAATGATAAGGAGATGCATGATTTTGTAAAAAGTTGATGTAACCTGGAGGGGGCTCAGAATTATTGAAGACCATCTTGTTTTCTCTTCATAAATGAGTGTTGATTCACCACATCTCTGTCAAGCCTTCCAAGATCAACTACTATAGTATCTGAGAGTAGAGAAGAATCCTTTGGATGTACAAGATCAGGTTTAACCCCTGGTATTTCCAGGCAAAAGTATGAAGGCAAGAGGAGAAGGGGATGACAGAGGATGAGATGGTTGGATAGTTGTCATCGAAGCT